AACCTCTAAAATATATAATATATAAAATCGAATTAACCGATATTACGATTATTAAAAACTTAAAAAGAATATTAAAAGGATTGTTAAAGATTATAACTTTTATAATAAAGCGAAAATTTTATAATATAAATTTTACGGAAAATTATAATTAATTACGTTATTTTTAAAAATATAAATAATTATTACGTTAAATTTTATTATAAAATTACCGTTATTTGTAAAACCGATAATAAAAGTTATTTACGATGATATTTTAATTATTATAAATATATTTACGAAAATGTATTTATTTTTTACCGTATATAAAATTAAATAATACCGATAACTTAACTCATACGTTGTTATAAACGATAATTAATTAATATGGGTTATTAAATAAAATTATATTAGATAAAAATAAATTATTTATTTTTAAATTTTAAAAATTGTTTATAATATAATTTAAAACTAAATATAAATTATTTATAATTTATTACTTATAAACGGATAAATAAATAAAACGAATAAATTAAACATTAAAATAATTTTTAAAATATTACGTTAATTACGAATAAAATAATTAAATACGATTATTATTAATTGTATAATTTATATATAATAACTTTAATACCGAGATATTTAATGTATTATTATTTTATATAAATTATAAATATAACCTAAACGTTACGAAAAAACTTTTAAAAAGAGAAATAATTTTTAAAATAATTAAATACGTTAATAAACTAAAAAACTTTAGGAATTATTATAATAAAATTTAGTTTATTTACAAAAACGAATAAAAAGATATTACGAAAAAAAAAATTTAAAAAACTAATTTCCGGAAAAAGAAACTTAATTTATTTAATACGATAAAATATTAAAATAAAACGACTAAACGATAAATTTAACTTTAAAAAAATCAGATTATTTAAAATTAATAAAACTATTTTAATAATAAATTACCGATTAACTTTATTCAAAATTATAAAAATCTATTTAATATTTTATATCTTATTATTAAAACTAATATTATTAAACGCTAAAATCGAGACCTAAATCGAAACCGAAACCGACTAATACGAATATAAAATCGAAAAAATTTTAGACTTTAAAAAAATAAAAAATACTATTAAATACCTAATTAAATAAAAAGGATACCTATTAAACGAAAATATATAAAAACCTAAAAAATACCTTCGGGGTTACTCTAAACTTCTTAAAAAATATTAAAAAAGGCGAAAAACCTAGAATATTCTAGTCCACCACATCGAACGCGCCGTTCGATTAAGCGCTAGTCGCCGTTTCCGATTCCTCCCGCTTTTTTATTTCTAATTTATCTAGAAATTATAAATTACGATTTATGATTTCTATACCACGAATAATTAAGAACTTTTTCTATTTCCTCAAACGAAATAAACGCGATAACGTTTCGTTTATACGCTATTAGGCCAAATTTATTTATTATTAAATTTAAAAAAACGTTTTTTGGAAAACTCCTCTTCCCGCTTTAAACGTTATTTCTCTCGAGAAATATTATCTAACGAAATTATCGGAACGCCCGAATTATCACAAAACTTCCCGCGACGAATATATTTTTTATATTGCGATACCCCTTCTATTATTTAATAACGAATATTATATTAAAAACAAAAAAAACAAGGTATAACGTCGAAATTTTACTTTCCGATAATAACGGCAAAGGGATTTTTTTCAATAATAATATTACGATAAATTTTCGGATAACGTTTTTTAATACGATTAAATATTATAAATATATCCCGAAAATAGTTAAAAAAAAAGAATTTATAAAAATTAATAAAATAAGCGATAACGATTTGTTTATACGATTTTAATTTTAAAAGACTAAAATTAAAAAAAGAAAAACTTAATATTACGAATATAACCTCGGTAACTTAATTTACCAAAATAAAATAATAAAAAACTAATAAATTAAAATTATAAATAAAATAATTATAAGAAAGTTACGAAAAACTAAAAGTTACTTAACTTAAAAAAATTATTTGTATTTATTTAAACGGACGTAATCGTAAATAAAAGCCGTTTATTTTAAATTAAATAAACGGACGTGATTAATAAAAGAATAAATAAATATATAAATAATAAGATTTTTAGGATATATAAATAATTATTATTTTAATAATTAATCTAAATATTTTCTATTTTAATAATTAATCTAAATATCTATTATTTTAATAATTAATCTAAATATTTATTTTATTTATAAATAAAGTTTATTAAATTTTAACGATTTATATTATACCCTTTAATATTTATTATTTTATTTTTATCCAACGTATTGCTCGAGATAATTAAAACGTTAATTAACTAAACTTATTTACTTTATTAATATAAATACCTAAACACTATATCCTACGGAGTTTACCTAACCCTCGGAATATATCGTCATATTCGGTTAATAATAATTTATTTTTCGGTTTTCGTTAATTCTTATAAATTAAATATAATATCGGATTAAGAAAATTTCTCGTTATAACGGTCATAAATAAATAAAAGGGATATTTTATAAATTTTTATAAATTTTTAATAATTAAATTTTAAATTTAATTGTTTAATTTTAAAATTTATAATTATATTATAAAAATATTCAAAAATTATTGTTAAAACTGTTAAAAATATATTTAACAATACTACTATAATACCCTATTAGAGCTTCTAGCACCTACGGTGGAGCATAGCTACCCTACAAGCTCTAGGGTAACCCTGGAGCTATATAGAATCTCATAGAACCTCATAGAATCTCTACGAATATTCCACGATTATTAAACATTAATAATCGATTATTAAAGCTGAATAATACCTTATTATTCAGCATTAATAAGCATTATTAATAGTATAGAATACTATGGAAAACAATGGAATAATCACGGAAAACGGATATAAAAGAGGTAGTTATTTTACGAGATAACCTGTAAGAAAGCAAGTCACTCCTTTCGAATAATAATATATAATACACTCTTTTATTACTTTATTATACCGACCTCCTGTATTTTACAACAAAAACTTTAATTAAAAACATTTCTTTTAATTATAAAAAAAATTAATTATATTAAAATTTATATCGCGTTATACGGTTTTATATAAATGGGGTTTAGCGGGTTTATTACAATTCCGTTCGCTTAGGCTCTATATTATAGCTAAACGGTATTATAAGATATTAACTAATTTAGGAGCACAATCGCACATTCAGGTGGTTGTGTTTCACTTCATAGATACCTGGCTTAACTAGTGCTCCGCCGCGACGGCCGGCTTACCGTTAGCCATCGCAAAAGTTAAACGCAGGCAGCTCGCCTTAAGTGGCGTGTCTCCTACTTTCACAAGAACCACAAACAACTGCGAGCTGGCCTGTCCACTAAAGCCATTGATGGGACACCTGCAATAAATTTGGATATTGTCTTTCCGCAGAGTACGCCACCCTTGCCACACTTCACACCCGATGCCAGACCAAAGGCCATAGGCTCGTGGCAGAGTCAGGCTGTGTAGTCCGATGTTGCACCAGCTGTACAGCAGCTACGCGACGAGGTGGGTTGTGAAGTATTCGTCCATGCCAATGGCACCATTCGTTTACAACTGGACCTAATCTATTCTTCCAGGCTGAAGTTTGACCTGCTTATGTCCAGCCAGATGCTAGTCCAAGTCAAACCGGCACCCGAAATGTACGAGAGGGATATGTCACTTGTCAAACACAAGCCAGAGGAATGCGTCATGATGGCAGCACATGCCTACGATCTGCGTGGTGCTCATGACGTTGGCATGCGCACCATCGACATGAAGCGCTCCACCGACGCCACTCCCGAGGATCCCAGCAACATTCACAACGAGTTCGATGATGTGCTTGACGGCATGCAAGGGCTTGCAGCAGCTGTAAACCAGCTATGAGGGACGGCAGCTGCAAGCCGATAGAAGGACTACCCGAGCATCGCCTGCTTTATTGATCCGGCGTGTGCCAGCAGATACTTGGCGTCTCCAGGAAGAAGAACTACTGCTCGACTTTGCCTAGGCGGAGCGCCTGAAGCACGGAGGACCGCTGTGCAAGATCTACGAACAATCGTGTAAGGCCCAGCAGCGTGGACAACTCCATCTGTTGTCCCTTGGGTTGGAATTTGAAAACGAGACAATGTATTCGTAAATCCCATGTCCGCACCAAGCCATGCCATCTACTCATTATGCCTGTAGAACCCTAATACCCAGAATCTAAGTACATTCCCGGCGTTCAACTCCTCCACCGGAGAAGCTGTCCATGCTGCTCGGCTGGAGGGTATGCGGGAGAATGACGAACAGGACACCATTTGTATACGTCTTTGCATCATAAGTGAGCTGCGCCGGCCACCGATACCAGCTTTCCAAGAATGGAGAGCATGATAAGGAAGTCAAGTCGGTGAACCAGGAAACGAAGACACGATCGGAAAGGAGTCGACCTCACCCGACGTCGTGGGATGCTTAGTAGGACTATTCGTGCCTAGGGAGCCGCCCCTTTTCGCCAGAAATGTGCGCTAGGGAGCGCAACAACCCCGAAGATATTCCGATCACAATCGTCTGTTCAGGTCCCTGTTTTCACGTACACACTTACTTTACAACAACAGCATCCATGATCTCAATCATCAGGTGCTGTAGTATAGTGGTCAGTACGACACGTTGTGGAGGTTTCTTACAGATCCGTGTAGACCTGGATTCGATTTCCAGCAGCGCCAGGGTGTGAAACGTTGACTTTTGACGTTCATAAATCACTAGAATACCATGCCATGTGGCTGTGAATAACACTGCTGCTAGCTACTATGTCTTCGACTCAAGCTTGGGCAACCAAGCGCATTTCAATTTTTGGGTATTGAACCCAGAACAGAATAAATAGACCAAATGCCTGTATGATGATGGTGGCGTTGACATCGGGGTTTTAACTTCAAAGCCGCGGCGATATTTGATGCATCTACACGAGTTGGAGAATCTCAGACGCGTTACTTACTGTCTTCGAGAGTAACGTCAGATTGACTACAGGAGAAGATCTTGACAAATTGATAGTCAGAGCACCCTAGTTCCGCGTCTTGTAGCACACCCCTTGTCGTAGAATAGTCGTCTGAAGCATGAACAGCTTTGCAATCATCCACACAAAATACAAGTTTATTAGTCTTCATGGATACCCGAAGTCCATACCCAATGAATGCCCTTGGCCATCTTTTCCATATCCCAACGATAAGAGTCATATGTACTAAAGGTATAGTGAACAGAGAAGTGCCGGCAAACGTGCCTCAGTGAATACCATACTGCGAGTATTTCCCTCGGCCATGCCGAGCACTATTTTCAGAGTAAAGTGGAGGCTGGGAATTGCAGCTTTCGTCTGCGGCACCCTGCCAAACAAAAAACCGACTTATTACTTTCCCCACAGGATGGAGCAATCAGAGAGGAAGAAGAGCTAATGTGTCAACAACGCAAATGGCGGTAACCAGGCGACACCCCAGAGACTTATAAGTTTAGTCGGACAATGCAGACAAGCGTTCGTTAGGGCTGAACCACTCGATCCCCGTGGCCGTTGGAAAAACATCCGGCCCGAGCCACGATGCTCACGGTAATTGAGAACTACTCACACGCTGGGATAAGGACCTTTACAGTTATTGATGTTGTGTCACAAGGTACCTGGCTGCTTCGGACACTCCAGACCGCTTGATTCACCGGCAATGTCAGCCTCATCAAGATGACGCCGTGGTCTTGCATCCTTTCTGCAAGAAGCCTCCCAAGTCAATCTAGAACCACACCGCAAGCTATCACACCCCACAAGGTCGGCTTTTTCTTTTCCGCATGGCTGGGCTGGCCGGACAAGAGCGGCAAGTGACCAGTCGCCGACCTAGAGTCTGGCCGGTAAAGGATGGCATCATGAGCATACCCTGTTCAAATTCGGCCCGTAGTTGTTGGGTCTCTGTATCTTCATGGGCATATGTGACAGTATACATTATTCTAAGCATGGACATGCTAGATTTCGCGCCGTAATGCAAAGCATTGGCAACACGATCAAACCGGCCAATGTGTCCCAATCACCCCTCCGATCGTGTTTCCTCGTGGCTCGCTTATCCGCTCGTCGGACTCGCAGCATCACACCAACCGTTAACAGGCTAGAACATGATCAGCATAAAGGTCACAAACACGAAGCTGAAGTGGGATAGGATCCAAGGGTTCAAACGCACCAGGCAACTCAGGTACTTGCACCAACTGCAAGTATCATGGTTGACGTAAAAGTTATTCAGAAGGACGATGAAGACGACGATGATTCCAATAAGGAACGCGGCGCGAACGAGCCACCAGATCCACCACAGACCCTTCCTGCCCTTGAAGAAACCCACCGGGTTTCGCAAAAACGGCGGGAAAGCCACGCTGGTAATGCCGCCGTTGTTGACGGTAGAATAGGATGCGCCGTTGAAATGGTCCTCCCCAATTCTTTCCCGGAGCGCGTTGGGCGAGTGCAATACGCAGACACCCAAACACAAGCCCATGAGAAAGCCACCGATGTGGGAGAAATTGTCGAGCCCAGGGAGGAGTCCGAGAACAAAGGAAATTACAATCTCGAGGAGGATGAACATAAGCTCCCTGACGGGATTGCGCCTGTCCTTCCACGAGTAGAGAAGGTCGAGCAGGGTCAAGGCAATAATGCCGAACAAAGAGCCAGAGGCTCCTGTCGATGAGATGCCGGTAGCAGCGAAATTCCCACCCATGACGAAGCCGAAGATGCCAGAGCTGATATAGACCAAGAAGAAGCGGATAGAGCCTATGGCCCTCTCGATTTCCTTTCCCAGGGTCAGCTGCAGCAGCAAGTTGAAGCCAATATGAATAACTCCAGCATGCATGAACATGGGAATGATGAAGCGCCACCACTGGTTGGGGAAGGGCGTGTCGTCGAGACTCCCATATTGATGAGGCTCGGGTACGCCGCCAAAACCACACAGCTCGGACAGGGTGCATTTCATGGATGGGTCGTTCGAATCGGACGTCGTCGTATTGGGACATGGCCAGTTGATACGAGTGTAGTTGGAATTCTGTATGCCATCAACATTGTGCATGCAGTTGACATATCGGGAGCCCATATTGATCAGCACTGCTTGCGACGGGCCGATCATGGGATTGAACGAGGGCTGGGTCTGGATGGGACTCCCGGTCAACTGGGCCGCCTTGACCAGTTCGCCGATGAACACGGCGATCTGGACGACGGAGAACAGATATACGAAGATGGGTATCCTTCGCTTCTGCGACCCTAGCATGCCCAGCTCCCCGTAGCGTAGTCTGCCCTTTCCTGATCTTGACCTATCCCGCTGCTGCTGGCCTTGCTCGTTGCCCGTCGTGTCATACACGTGATCGGTCGAGTCCATGGCGACAACCCCAGCGGAACCCATCTTGTGGCTGCTACCATCCTGGTGCTGTCGTAGTGGGATGTCATCAGCTATGGGAGAAACGTTCCCCGGACCGGGGCTGTGATATCTTGTATCCTGTGCAAAACTGTGTTGACTGTTCATACTGTTACCGGTATCGTGGGAGTTGGTCGGGTAGACGTGGTCATCGAAGACGGTATCAAAGGGAGACACGGTAGAGGTCCCGGCTGGTCGATCGGGATGCGGTACTTGCGACGTGTACGACGGAGGATATGACGAAGGAGTGGTCATCGGCGACTGATGAGCGCCGTAGCTACTGCGATATTGGGGCTGCGACGGCCTGTCGTTGTAATATTCGTTTGCAGCCATCGTGGACTGTCCTTGCTCTCTCCCCCTTGCGAGATCTATGTTAGTGATGGCGGTAGCTGCGGCTGAGTTCCAGTATCTCTGTTGACAAGACAATGTGTCTGAGCCAGCCAGCGTCTGAAGATGGGATGCAGGCGACCAAAGCGCTGGGGTTCGTAATTTCAGCCAGCACCCTCGGGTTTTTTCAGCTTTGAAACTATCCTAGAACAGTAAACGATGCGCGAGGGAATTCTCGAATTGAGTGACAAACGAGCAAAGACCAAACGAGTGTCTGAAAGGCTTCCACTATTTGGTTTCTTCTTCTCCCAGGTAATCAGTTGTTGATAAAACAGGAAGAAGAAACCGGGACTGCGAGCATTGTAATGCTAGGAATCAACGTTCGGGCGACTTTTAGTCACTGGAGCACGGTTTGGCGTGGTACTTTCAATATGTACTGTGGTAAGAAGACCCCGGGGCGGAGTACCGTGCTAAAATTAGCAGGCTTGGAACCTCAAGCGTCCTCCCAAGCCATCAGACACATATAAGCTGTCGTCACGCCTCGTTAAGAACAACTCCAGCAAACCCCTTACAAATAAATGCAATTCAGCCATTGATCATGCAATTCCGACTGCAGCAACTCATCAATGCATCATGTGCAATCCAACCTAGGCCGAAACGACGTGATTGATATTGTCTGCCAGTTGCCCATTGCTTCTCGGAGTGATCCACCAACGCAAGGTCTAGAAAGCAACGCTTATCGTGCTTACAACACTACCAGTTTGGTATGGGCCATTGTCGCTGGTAGTAGCCGGGACGAATTAGTTCGTAGCAAGGCCTCCAAGGGGAGGCGGTGCAGCATTGTAGCCCCAGTAGTTATTCGTCACCATCCTTTAAGCCACACTGGAGCACAGCAGTCTGTTACGAGTTGCAGGTGCCCAGGGCGGTGAGTGCCCCGCGTAGTCGTTATATTGAACCCGCTCTCGGGTGCGGGATCTAATACGTAGGTACCTAGCTAGGTAGGTAGGTACGTACAGTACACTTCACAGTGGACTTGCTTGTCTGCAGTGGGATTAGATATCACGGATTCGCGATTTCAGGGGCGGCCCAGGGGCACCCAACAGTCATGCGGTGCATATATATGTTTTTACATCATGGTCGCAAAATCTACTATTCTACTTTGCATATTGGTGAGGCATCAAGTTAGCTAGTATAGTGTTTCCCTTGCCTCTGGCTCTCACACTTAGGTTCACTAAGCTGACCGTCGTTCTCAGTCTCTCCAGGACCCTTGATCGGCACTTCGCACAAGAAATGTGGGGATATGAAACCACGTCGATTGGGGTTCCGATGAATTGTGAAGCTTACGCTTTGCGCGTACGAGACTCGGGTCAGTCATACAAGAGTCAATCTGTCAGCCCTGGTCTGGGGTTTTACGCCGCATATCTGCTGTTCTTCCTCAAACGCTTCCCGTAAAGAAAGAAAAGATACGGAAACGGCAGCATCGCGACAGTAAGGAACGCTAGCAGACTTGAGCCCCATTGATTGCCTAGCTTGTGATACATCTGCAGACCGAAAAGTGGGAAGGCGGCTGGACACATCAAGATCAGCTAGGGCCCGCAGTGCTGCAGGCGAGGAGGACAGAACACCGCTTACCGGCGAAAGCACATCTTGTAAATGCGTTGGCGGCCAATGCTGATGCGGCATACGAGGGGTATGCGTCGACCAGGAAGGTGAAAATGCCTGTGAAGACCAGAAGTGTCCTATTCCGAACCATGTCAGCGACGGTTCAAGCGACGGCCTACGATGGCATCAGGGCGGGGCCACTCACCCCATCCCAAACACGCCGGAGCCAATGATCGGAACTATCCAGTGTACCCAAGGATATGTCGTCCACGCAAACCAGAATAAGCCCACGGGCACGAGCACTGCCCCAGCTACTGCGGGAGGCAGCCGAAACTCGGGCTCCGAACGACCTTCGTTTCGCTTCAATAGCCCGTCGT